TAGTATAAGTAACATCAGTGATTAAGTAATAGATCAACTATCACACCTTCTTTGTAATCAAGTAAAGTCCTCAGTTCTTGTTCCTCTCCATCAGCTAGTTTAATCTCCTCTGCAAGACACTCATTATTCATTACCTATAATCAGTACATAATATTAAACAAGGTCTCATACAGTTACAGTATCTTATACTTTGTATCTGATCCTTTTATCATAGACAGTGTAGTGGCCAATGGTTAGTCTCATTAAACTGAATTCCTTCATCAAGACAGTTAGGTTGTCTTGTACTTCCAAGAGTAGAGCAGCTAGTAAATGATGTGGACCATAACAGATGATAATGATGGAGTTCCCACGATGAATGCTTCGTATGATAATCCTCTTGTTTAATTCTTTAAATGCTTCCTCTAAGAGATTACGTATGTCATCGAGTGAGTGCTCCTCTGGTTCCCATCCCAAAGTAAACTGAATTGTTTCACAAATGAGAAAATGCTGAGGTTGATTCTGGCTTAGGAAATCCTTCAGAAATTTACATGCTGTCTTCACTTCTTTCTCATACTCTGATACCAAAGGATTGGCTTCAGTGATTTTAAACCGTTTTATAATTAATTTCAATATTGAAATGTTGTTTAATCGGCAATTTTTGACAGCGATATTCATAATGCCTTCAACGCTATCAGCATCAGGCAGCTCAGCACTGAATTTTGGGTAAAATCGTTGAAGGAATGACTTCATTTCATCAATGGATGTTTTTGATTGAGATATCAATGGAACCAGCTCATCAATAAGAATAATAAAACTTCCTCTGATCTCATCAAACATAGACTGATGTGCTGCACTGAAAAAGAGCTCACTAGCTAATAATAAAATAATAAATATTATTAACAATCAAATTTAGACTAAGAGCTACCTGAAGCTGATACTGTTGCATTTGCAGTAGGTAACTGATTGACTGTACTACTGGTAACTGGTCTAACTATAGCTGTAGTCACTACAATTTCACCTGTATAATACATTTATAATAGTAAATATGTATTAGGCATTATACCTGATGGAAATGCAGTATCATTATTAGTAACTGATGGAGGTACTGGTGAACTAACAGTAGAGTATGTATCATCAGATTTAGCTAAAAATAAAATTATATTTACTGCTTATTATCTATGTAGCACCAATGATACTAATGTATGGTATTTTTTTGTATGGTATTCATATTCCTTAAGGTATATCAATGAATTTTATAGAGCAAAACTGGGCCCCACCCTATCAGGAGAGCAACAGCTAAATTCATTATAAATATACAAAATTACATGTTTTGGAATGACTACAACTGCCATTTTTCATGCATGCACATAAAAGTATAAT